TTGTATCTTGAAGTCAGCACATACTTTGTTTTCCCCTTCCAGAGTTTACAGGAAACATCCACCATCAGAAAAACGAGCCAGTGGGGAGGGTTTCTGATGGTGTGCAGGCACCCTTCACTGAATAGTGTAATGGACTAGGCATAGAGCTCACAGAGTCTTTGCTCTTTTAAGAACCCACCTTGCTTTTTAACTATCTTTAAGACTCTGATGGGCAATAATACTTCTTTACACATTTTGATACTTTAATGAAAGAACTCAAACTAATTGACTCTCAATGTGCAAAGGTGTTCTATCAATTACCTAATCTCCCCTAACTCACCTCCCTTAATTTTTACTACCAATGGTAACATTATCAAGATAAGTGCCTATTTTTCCATTCTGAAACCAAAGGGCAATTAGAATTTAAAGGGCACTGACAATTTTAAAGTAATAAGATGACTGAAATTGCTATTAAACTAATAAAATTATGCCTGAAAATATATGGGCTGTTTTAATTAGCACAGACTTGTAGGCAAGAATTTAAGATTATCTTTCTTCCAAAAAAAAAAGAAAAAAGAAATTTTTTAAGCACCTGAAGTCTTCTGACTTCAAATATGGGCTTCCAAATTTAAATTCATAAATTCATTCATTCATTCACTCATTCCAGACAACCAGAAAAAAAACTACTTTAGGTATGCTACTGTCATGAATTCAAAGTTCAATAAGACATCTGGCAGGAAAGTGCCCCTCCATGCCCACTGTTAATGTTGCATCCCTACCATCTCTGCCCTTCAAGTTCTTTTTTTGGGAAAGAGCTAACATTTCCCCCTAAACATAGCAGAATACATTTTTAGTTTTCTTTTTGTTCTTTGTTTCATTCTTTTCTCATTTCTTCTTCTTTTTTTTAAACAACAAACTATAATAAGCATTGCTAGGATTCAACAGAAAAAAAATGGGCTAAACATCCTATGCTGAGGATAGAATCAATGGTCATACCTCATCTCACCCACTATTTATATTTATACATTATCTATATCTGTTTCCCGCTCAAAATTGAGACTGTCTAAACCATCATCTTTTAGAAGTTACAATGGAATATAACTACTACTACAGAACAAGAATATAAACTTTAAAAATGTGCTGGGGTAGGAAGGAGAGACATAATTTATACATGCTAGTCTAAAATACTTAGAATGAATTATATAAAACTGCCATATTTCAAAGACTGGGCTTTATTATCTATTAATAGCATAATGAAACTGTATAAAACTATTCTGCTAGATGGTTTTAAGTGTTAGATGTAAAAATCTTTGCCATACGATCTAAATTGAATTTGTATTCTTAGACCCTTTAGATGAAAAACTATTTCTGGTATAAAAGTAAAAAAAAGAACTCTGGTAAGGAAATATTCATCTCCCACCCTAAAGTGACATTGGTAAATTTATCTATTTATACAGAGAATTATAACCAAATTCAGTACAGATAAATACAATGTATCTTTTATGTAAGCAGATTTCCTATTGTAATTATTAAAAAAGGAAAAAATGTCTGTAATTTCATTGCTGAGGTTGATAGATTCTATTAACATTGTATTTTCGTAGACAGTGTTTTTTCCTTTTAAAGATTTTCTTAGTTATTTCTAAAGTATGCTTAACTCAGCAATTAAAATTGAAGGTATAAGGTAAAAAATAATCT